AACTGGGTGTTCGGATTTATATGTCACTTAGTATATTTCTTCTGTTGTTATATTTTAAGGTTTTGTTAATGAAGAAAAAGACACTGCTAAAGTCTAAACGTATACGATCGAAGTGGACGAAGAAATAGCTGGTGAATAGAAAAATTCATTCACATATAAATCTACTCAGGATTTAAAAGATGTTACAAACAACTGGCGAATTTATTTGCAGATGGATGAAAATGCCTATAGTGAATTATTACGCTTGGTCACGCCTCTCATTCAACGCCAAAATACGGTTATGCGTGAGAGTGTATCACCTCACGAAAAGGGTTCCTGCATACTGCATTGTTTCTATTTCTGCACTTAGTTTTACAGAGCGTTGGTAAAGATTTGTATAAATGTATTAATTACGTCGTGAACTCACGATTATATGAGCTCAAATCTACCATTTTGTGGCAGACGAACGCGTACCTACCAAACGACAACTAGCCTCGACTGAGGCTTGAACAGTAAACACCTAACCACACATATAGGCAAATACGCGCAGGCCAGGCTTGCGCAGGCAAAATTCCAAACAAGTCAAAACTCGCGCAAGCCACGCTGAGAGGCTTGCGCAAACCAAAGGAATGCCAACCACACGCACAGTCTTCCATGCACAAACCGGCCTGCGCAAGTAAAACTGTGAAGCTTGCGCGTGTGGTAAGCCCATTAGCCTAGTGTTCAAACGTTCCTGTTCCGCGCTTTCTGGCCACACTACGGGTCTAATGAGCAAGCGACCTAACGCGCGGAGGCGGCGGTAACAAACCAGTTCGGCCTTGTCGTTCGGCGTATGCATGAGTATTATTGTATTGTAATGGCGGATACCGAATTGTTTATAAGTGCAATTCCATCTAAAGCACCTATTTGGCAAAGTAAACATCACAGATATTTTACTTAGGATATAGTTGAATGTTGACAGGGGCACTCAAGTGTTCTCAAACTTTGGTAGGATATAATCTCAGTTCTTCATACGAATGGAAATATTCCCCAGTTGTTTCTGTGTTTTTGGAAGCTTGAAACTTCTGATAATACGTCCAGTACAACAGCTCGTAGAATGTACACGCTCACTAATATACAGACAGATTGACAAAGTCACAAAAAAACTCAACAAATAATTTGGCATTCTTACGTTTTGCGTTTGCCTATAGTAATCTATTCACCAGTATTAAATTTTCAATACTAAGAAAAGTTGTCAAAATAAAGGATCTCATGTATTGTATGACGTACATGTCTCAATATCTTCATCCAACTGACTACACTTGATATAACTTGATATAAACCCATATTTATTCTCAATTTCTATTGTTTCTTTTGCTTATATCACAGATATCACTTATCAGAAAATTGATAACAATAGTATTTATCGTTTCAGCGGAATCATACGATACCCTCTGATGGGGATCTTACACAAATATTTTTTAGAAAGAGCCTTTCATTATTTCATTACAAATTCAACTAAAATTTCATATTTCCTTAAAGCTACAACTTCTTATAAATATAATGCCTGAATTGCAAATTTTACACAACTTCACCAAATACTTTCCAAAAACTTGTTTATTGTAGCTGTTGATCTACTTAAGAAATGAAGATAGTTTGTGGATTCTAACCTATGCAAAATATTTAGTTATCAGTTCAAAACATTTTATGTTTCGATTTGATGAACGTTGCAAAAACCGGATGCCGTGAATAATGTAAACAGATTCTAAAAAAAATTAAAGATAAGACGAGATCGCAGATATTCGCAGACATTTACTACCGCTCGGGAGATAACCTGTTGCATTATATGGAAAAAATTGTCAGACATTAGTATTTTACGGTATAATAAAGTAGTTGTGAGAACATTAGAAAATTTTGATGTATTCGTTGTTACAGAGACGTGGCTAAATGAAAATATTACTGATGATGTGGTTAATATTAGCAACTATTGTTTCTTGCGTTGTGATAGAGAATCTCGCGGTGGTGGAGTTGGAATCTATGTTAAATCAAACATGCTGAAAAGGTAGATATTCATACAAATTTTAGTGATTTTTTCGAAAGCATTTGGGTTAAATTGGTTGCGGGTAAGTGTGAACTGTTAGTAGGTGTTTTGTACCGACCACCCTCTAAAAACTTACAACAATGTGCAGATTTATTAAATGGTTTTCTACCCAGCCTCTCGTTATATCATCATAACATCGTGATATTGCGAGATCTGAATATAAATTTTTTTAATAACAATATATTCTCACTGAGTTTTGAGCTGATGGGGTTCACACAAATCGTAACGGAAGCCACCCGTATCACAGATAGTACTGCAACATTAATCGATCCAATATTTTTAAATAATCCCCAAACATGCAGCTATTCTTCCGTCATGGACACGAATGGTATTTCGGACCACAAACTCGTATTTTTTCATTTTGACATTCCATCTTATAAAAGAAAACAAAAATTTATCACAATCAAGGATTTTAAACATTTCAGTGAGGATGATTTTCTTATCGATCTTTCTACATCGGGCATAGATGAATTATTTACGAAATCTAATATTGATAAGAAGGTAATGCACATTACAAGCGTTATCGTGGAAACCTATAATAAACATGCACTTTTAAAACTGTAAGAGTTAATAAGCCACCATCACCTTGGTTAACTAATGAACTGCGCACTGTTCTTGATGAAAAGAATACTGCACAAGCTTTATATAAAACTAATAAGACCGTGGTCGCCTATCATAACTAAAATTGTAGAAAAAATTATAAAGTTCCAATTGACCGCTTACCTAGAAAATTTCTTTATACTTCCCGACACTCAATCCGGATTTAGAAAAAATTATAGTACAACATCTGCCCTACTTAATCTGCAAGACAATATTTTAAGTGCCTTAGATAAGAAAATGGCACTAGCCTTAATCTCTATAGACTATTCGAAAGCCTTTGACAGCATCAATCATAAATTATTACTTGCTAAATTAAATTACATAGGTCTTGACAGTGTATCCCTTTCATTTTTCGACAGTTACCTTCATCAAAGAACTCAGTGTGTTTTTCTCAATCAAGAAATGTCTTAAGTGACAATAATTCCCTCAGGTGTACCTCAGGGCTCTGTATTGGGGCCGCTTCTGTTCCTCATATATACGTTCGACTTAAGCAAAAGTATCGATAATTCTCATGTCCAGTCATTTGCAGCCGATACGCAATTGCTTCATTATTTTAACCCAGATAATGTCAATAATAATACTCAAATTTTACAAAAGGATGTTAATAAATTAATTGAATACTCTTTAGATCACAATCTACTTATTAATCCACAAAAATCTAAAATGTTATTATTTTGCGCACAAAGAAAAACATACAATGTAACACAACTCTTGAACATTCAGATAAATAACCAAATCATGCAATTTTCTGATTCTGCAAAAATTCTTGGTGTTGTTTTTGATACAAAATTAAGGTTTATTGAACATGTTAAAAGTCTATCTCAGAAAGCCTACCTACGGCTGCGCACTCTTATAGCAAACAGGTATTTACTAAATTTTAAGTTGCGTAAAAAACTATGTGAAGCATTGGTCATATCTATACTAAATTATTGTAATATCGTATACTATACTTGTTTAGGCAATTTCACTAAAAACGTTATTAAAGTTATTCAAAACAATTGTATACGATTCATTTTTAGCTTACGTAAATTTGATCATGTATCAGCGAAATATCCCGTTCTAAACTGGTTAACATGGTCAAGTATCACTATTCAGTTTTTGTTCACAAATTGCTGCTCACGTCTAAACCTTATTACTTGAAGGAAAACATTTCGTTTAATAATGATGTTCACTGTAGAACTCTCAGAGAAAATAATATTAGAATACCCCTGCATACGTCTACACTTTTTAAACGCAGTTTTTCTTACAATGTTGCTATTATTTATAATGACCTTCCTAAAGTATATAAAGAATTTTCATTACCTGTCTTTCGACAAACAGTTAAAACATTATTACTCAACCCTCCAAACATATAATTTACGTAATCATTCATTTCTTTTTTATTCCATCTTTAATTCAGATTAATAATTTTTTGGTGCATTTGGGTTTGGAAAGTATGCCTTTTTCGCTTTTTTTAAATTTTACTTTCGATGTAATGAACCAAATCTGTTTGTGGATAGTGTATTCTTTTGAACATCTGCTAGAGACTATATGGTTAAGTGTAAGAGTAGCATCATGCTAAACTTCGCCATGTAAGTCTGACATTTGGCTATACTACAATGTAATTGTGGATAAATAAAGACCTCTATTATTATTATTATTATTAACTATGACAAAAATAAATTGAACTAACTGAAAATGTTAATCCTGCATATAAAAATCAATACATCTTAAATGAAAACATGTATGCGGAAAACCTAAACAAACCAAGCACTTATCCCACAAATGTTTTATAAAAAAATCAGTTATAGGTTATAGGGCACAAATGTAATACTTGAGTGACGAATAAGAGTGAATTCTGTATATCTCGCTTTCAGTTTGGCATTCCTAGCGTCTCTTCAACCACAGATAATTCAATTTTTATTGATATGGGGTATTTATCTATCTTGTGGGGACATTTTTCTTCGCAAAATCTCATTTTTATGAATATTTTTTTTCGATCTTGTAATTCAATCCCACTAGATCGGTAAAATGTCACTCTTGGGACGTCTCGAATGCCTCATTTTTTCCAATAGGGTTAAGCCTTTTTTGCTTGCTATATTGTTAATCAGCCCCTGTCTCACCACTGTACGCACGGAGTTTTGTTCGCTTGTAACGACAGGAAATGGAAATTGAACGGTGGTGCAACTATTTTTTTGGATACTGGGTGCGTATTCCAAAAGTGCGATATACGTTTTATATTAGTTTCCATAAATGAGGTTTTTCAATGCTTTTCACCGTCTGGTCCTTTTTGCAAGACCCCTTATTTAAAAGAAAATAGTTCCTTACTTGCTTATTCATTTTGTAGAGGATAACTGCTTACCTGTTTGCGAATATAGTCCTGGCGCCTCTCCGCCATTTGAACTGCTAACCTCCTGAGGGATTCCACCGTTTTGAGGAGGTACATCGTAACCTGATCCAGGAAAAAACTGGAAGCCTCCTGGACCTAACTGTGGATCGTTTTCTGGTGGAGTAAAGCTCGGCTGCGGTCTATACACAGATTGAGGAGACTCATTTCCAAAACCTGAGGATGGCGGAACTCCATAGTTTTGCTGTGGTTTCTGGATAGATGGAGAAGGTTCACCGCCATAGTTGGAGACAGGAGATGGTCTAAAGATGGAATGGGACGGATTTATTCCAGCACTCGATGGTGGCCTGTAAAGCCCTGGATATGAGTCATCTTCAAAAGGCCTATAGTATGGAGACACGCCTCCTCCAAGACTCACTGGAGGCCTGTAATGAGTTTGCTGAGATGCAATGCCTTGATACGGGATGAAGTCTGGTGAACGGAGAGGAACAACATCCATCCATATTGGTCTATCGTATTCGTAAAGTTGCATTGGAGGAAGTCTAGGGTAATGTGGTGGAGGTGGATAGAATAGTGGACGGTAGGGTGGATATCTATTATGGAGATACGTAGCTTGGCCAGGTTCGGCACCTAAAATACATACATTGCCTGGTTGAATATACGTAAGCTGTTCAAAAAGAATATAAATACGAGCCCCTTCCCACTTCAGTTGGCCCACTTCAAGATTTATTCCAAAATGTGCCTTTATAAACTAAACATGACGAAACTATTTACTTCTAAAACAATTTATTTTCTCAAAAGCATTTTAGATACACTCTAGTCGTAAAAAAAACATATTTGAAATCACTTAGACCTACAACTAATAGAACATCTGAACAAATAAACAATGTGCGAATAAATGCGCGAAGTTAACAAAGCAACATTTGAAAGATTACCTTTATTTTTTATTACGGCTGAAATTCTTTGGGGCATAGTGTTAACAAAGTTTTGGCAAAAATTTGGTGTAAAAAAATCCAATATTTCTTGAAGCTTTAGTTTCAGTTCGGTGATTGTACGAGCAGGATGTTGTCGTAGAACCTTTTTCATCTCGTGCCACAAAGTTTCAATAGGTGGCAGATCTGGACTGCTAGAAACCCATTTCAAAAGTGGTACATTATTATCTTCCATCCATTTTATAAACTTTTTTGAGGTATGGCACGCTGCACCATCTTGCTGAAACACAACATCTTGGCCGGATGTCAAACATTCTTCCATCACTGGTAAAAGCGAATCTTCTAAAATTGCCAAATATTTGTTTGTATCCACATTTCCATCAATAAAATGAAGTTTTCCTCCTCCTTTTGATGACATACTGCCCCAGACCGTAATGGATGCTGGAAATTTCATTTTTCTCTTCGGACAGTCAACATGGAATGCTGAATTGGGCCTCATCACTCCATTGTATTGCACACCATTGTTGAGGTGTCCATTGTCTATGTTCGTTAGCCCATCTAAGCCCATTTTTCTTTTGCAGTGGGGTTAATAGTGGCTTTTCTTTGGCCTATAAACAAGTTGTACAACTATAGGGTTTTTACTTCACTTTTTTTTATAAGAAAACTTACCTTGCAAGTGCTAAGTCCCAGTTTGTGGGCCTCTCTATGAGTTGTGGACCTCGAAATTCTCCTTCCAACAGCGTCACTCCACAGAACACTTATTTGTAAATAATTGACACGCCTGTTCTTCACGATTATTCTTCTTAATGTTCTCCGGTCGGCATTTGTGATATTACCTTTTTTCACATATCGTGGCTTAATATTAACTGGACCAGTTACGCTATATCTTCTAACAATATTTCTCACACTGTACCGCGATAAGTCTAACAAAGTTGCAATTTCTGAGTTTGATTTCCCAGAATTAAAAAATTTAATTATCAGTAACCGAATTTTCTCACTAATAACCTTTCCTCTACCCATTTTGAACACCTTAACTACCAAAAACTATTTTAAACCTATTCTGACATCTGTGATTAATGAAATCAATTGTCATGGCTTTTATTTTTTACAGCCACCTATGCGTTATAGACTTATTTTGCATTGAAATGAAAATAGGTTGATATGCTGTAATTGCAACATGTGTTATTCTCATGCTGCAAATTTGATTAGGGAGTGATAAAGTTGGTGTTTTCTACTATATATTATCAAAATATTCATTGTTAATATTTTAAACCTATAACACCCTGCAACATTTTTACTATTTGTGTTTGATAAGAAAAAAACTAAGATTTCAATAGTTGCGCCAACTGAAGTGGGAAGGCGCTCGTAGAAGATATATGGTGAACGCGAACACAAACCTCCACTACTTAAACCTCCATAACCAACTTCAGGCGTGAAAAGGTTGCCTGTTGGCCTGTGACCTACATCCTGCCTAATAGGGGTTTTTGGCTTATCTCTATTTTGGAGTAGCTTCAAGAGCTCCTGGTACCTATCAATAGGTGGATTGTTCTGTAAAGGTTTCTGAGGATTAGGAGCATCTTCTCTGTTCAGTTTGTCTATCAGCTCTTTCAACTGTCTGTCGCCAGTCCTGTTATCTGGAAGATTGATTTCTTCTTTGGGCCTGAGAGATTCTATGGCGTCTTGTAATCTTTTGAGTTCGTGATCGCCGTCGTCTATTCTGCCTAGAAAAGAAAATCAGTGATGTTAAAGGCGAAATGGATATTGGAATTTCGAAACATTTTCATCATTTCAAGTGATCCATTTTCCCCATTTCGATCTTTATCGTTGGTTCAATATATGAATTTTGGCCCAATGTTGAACAGGGTACTTCCAAAGCATTGGATAAAAGCCTGTGGTGGCTCAATGTTCTTTGAGACACGAAGCATGTGATTTTGAGAACAATTGTTTTCAACTCTGGGGCTCCATAAGCCATGTTTTGGGATTCTATTGAGTTCCGCACGGGTATCACGTATCTTGAAAAGTGACATTATGCCGATTCTTTTGACATTATGCTGTTTTTTTTTTTTGAAATTATGTAGGTTTTTCTACAAGATATTAGCTTAGCACTTAGTTGTACGTGTTGCTTAAATGTCATGAGGCTTATTATCAATCTTTGGCTGTGATGTAAAATCTCTGAGATGGCATTACTGGAGGTCTAAGTTGTAAGTTGTATGTGTTGATGATAATTACATTTTGTTCTTGTCTCAAATACACTTAATTGAGATTCAAAGCTAGAAATTAGTTGCGCATCCACTTTTTCTTATCCATTCTGGAAATTAAATATAAAAATTTGCTGAATTTAAAAAATGAGAGAGATAAGAAATGATTATATTCACTGTACACTGTCGAATTAGAAGCCATATACATGCTAACAGTAATTACACACAACGCGGGCGTGGTGATGATTTCCCGTAATTATCCTCAGTTTTTAATGATTCATAAGCTTGAACGTAACCTCTCTTCAGAAAGCACAACATAAAAATAACCCGTCTGGCACAGCCAACAGATATACTTCATTGGCAGCATAGTCAGTAATGATTTTCTCACACAGCAAATATCACTGATTTTATAACCATTCAGACCAATACACATACTCGTAAATCATCCAGATGCGATCTTGCTATTGAACCAACTTTCTTCTCAGAGATAAAAACTACAGACAAGGACCATTTGGCCTCACAAAACGTATGCAACCAATAATGCGTGTAGTTTAGTTGAGTGATTCCTCCTTAGATGGATGTTCACAACGATTTTAGTGAGCAAACGTGGAATGACTGTTTGCGCCCTGAAAACTACCCAGTTTGCAAGATGACATCTTGTAGGTTTTTTATATGATACCCGTGCCGGGCAGATACACAATGCGCTGTGAGTGAGTCTTTGCCGATTTTCGAATTATCTCTTTGTTTCGGAGCTTTATGCCTCTAAGAAAGGCGCCTTTCAACCATTTGTACAACACTGTATAACTGATTGGCGATTCGAAAGCATAGTAACCAGTAGAGGTGTCAAAGCAAAATAATCAATTTATTTAGGTCGTATGTATGTATAATAATGAAAGCTGAAAAAAATGCTTGCTGGCTTCCAATAACATATGTCCTAAAACTTTTGGTACAAAATTAATTTGCTTTAATTTCAACAGACACAAAATAAAATCAAGTTGCCTTTGGAAAGAAAAATTTGTTTACTTACTTTACTGCCGGTTGACATTTATTTATTTTCAAGATTTCGCCTTAAGATGTCGTTTAAATTAGAGATACTATAAGATAAAGTATCTAAAAGTTTGTTGGGCGGGTACCCAAAAATGAAATCTGTCGAATATTCTATAATGAAAACAGTTCACGCAGAACCATTTATCGACGATTAGCGGAGTGCGAGCAGGAAATACTACGTCTGAATCTCCCAAAAAGTGGAGGACCACGTGCATTTACTGCACAGTGGTCAGAGAGATTGGTGAGAAGAGCAAAAAATCAGTTTGGAATGTCAATAAGAAGACAGGCTCGTTAATATAGATCTTCTAAGAGTACGATATCGTTGAAATTGAGAAGGAATGGTCTTAAATATCGAAAGAGACTTAAGTGCCCCAAATACTTTTAAGCGCAGCTTCTTCGTATATCAAGATACGGTCGTCAACTGAGGCGGGTACACTTTGCCAAAGGAAAAATCATTATTTTAGATGACGGAATGCATTTTATTTTGAGTAATTCTGGAATGAATGGAAACGGCGGATTTTATACGGACAACGTAGAGGAATGCTCTGACAATGTTAGATACATACATAAAGCGAAATTTGCAGATAAAATCCTTGTCTGGTACGCAATTTATAGCAAGGGTGTATCCCAACCTTTTGGGAGCAGAGTGAGGGGTGAAGCTTTGAATAGTCAGAGCTATATTGATAACTGCCTCTTCAAATTGCTTCAGTTTATCCATGAACATAATGCTAATGACCATATCATGTTTTGGCCAGACCTAGCATCATGCCATTACTCAAGAGATACCCAAAACTGGCTTCGACAACACAACATACCTTTTGTTCCCAAAAACGATAATCCTCCAAACTTGCCACAGGCTCGTCCAAGAGAAGATTTTTGGGCTTTACTGTTTAGGAAGTTTTATCATGGCTGCTGGAAAGCCCAAGATGGAGAACCGTTAACACGGCAAATTTACGAAAAGCTGAGAGAAATTGATATGAATTCCGTCCAGTACCTCATGAGAGACATTCGAAAAATGTTGCGTCTGGTAGAGCAGGATGGGCCACCTCACATAATACGATAGTATAGCTTAGTTAAGTATTGAGTTCTACTTTATGATGAACTAGTTAGTGCTTAACTAAATTTCTTCATTACAAAAATGCGATAAATATTTTCTGCCAAAACTTTTAGGACATACGTTAAATTGAGGCGTTTTTGAATGAACGGTTATATTTCAGTACTGTTTTAACGACTATGATACCAATTATGGTATACTGGCTTATACTGGTTCTAAAAGCACATTCAGTAATTTTGACAACAGTTTCATGAGCAGCGAAAAGAAACATAGCAATGAATTTTCACATTGCTTATCTGAATTTTAGTTTGTTTATTTAATTTTTTGGGGACTGGCTAAATTGATATGAGCATACATGAAACAAGATTTTCTCAAATCATTTTATCGAAATCTATACCAAGGATAAATTTTTTCAGCAAAACAATTAGTCTTTCCAAAGATATCGTTTTCAATTATATTATTGTACAGTGTGAAAAAAAATATCAATATTGCGTTTGGGCTGGTCCGATCGTAGTGATTTAAATGAGTAAATGTTTGTGTGTGTATCTTCAGCGGACAAAATGGTTCAAAGAATCGTTCATTGAATTTTTGCCCGATGTTTTGAAACATCTTGTATCTTATACAAATACGGAAACCTGTATGTGGTTGGTATTGATGTCAAACATATTCCTGTTGATGAAAAAAGGTCAAGGTCTACTCATACATGCAACATGAAGTGATAAGAGAGGAGAATATTCATGACAGTGGTATCATTGTATTTTTGCATAATATTGTTCGTGATACCAGACCGAACATTATTCAATATATTTTTTTGAAGAGACTTTCAAAAGTTTCTGTTATTCGCTCCAGACCATGCTATTTTATGTTTTTTGGTTATTCTGAACAAAAAAAGGTTCTTATAAACCTGTCTCTAAGGTTCATAGTTTTAGAAATATAGAAAAGTGCAGAATACACCATTTTGGATTCGTAAAACAATATGAAAAATTGGAGATTTTGTTTCTAGGGTTCATTGACCTTTTTCAAACATCGATTAAACTCTCAAAGCATTTTCACGCGCTCAATATATATATATTCTGCGTGAGAATGCCATTGATTAACAATTAAAAAACAAAATGCCTGGCACCTTACTAAAGGATATTTCAAGAATATTTAGGAACTTTGGGAACATTGAAATTCTCGTTTTTTCGTATTATTTTTCTTTGTCGAAAGTGACATATTTTTAAAATTTTCAAATTTGCTCATATCTAGAAAACTACACACTTCAGAGAATGGTCCATTTGAACCTCTTTTATTTAGAATGTCCCAAAAAACTAAGAAAAACTTTGTCCGTAGCGGAAAAAAAACAGTTACTTGAATTTTGTTAAAAAACATATCCATTTCTAAGGCAATTTTGGTCCTGCGATATGTAGATTTTTTAAAAGGAGTCCTTCTTGCTAAGACTATACAAAAAACTGGCACACCATTGCACATGTCTTTGAAGACCGTGGGTGTATCCTTCAAATTTTATTGTAGAATCAAACTGAATCATTATTCTAGCTTTGTGTCAGATATCGTTACCTAGTGCTGGTTGTTCAATAAGCTTTGCAGCTTGTTGCAGCACCCGTAAAAGTTGAGTTCCATCGCCGAGTTCTCTTCCGTTAACAGGTGGTTGTCCGTTTAGCTGTTGTAGGAGTACTTTCATTGCATTTTCTCTGTTCTGTCTATCAATTGCAACTTGAAAATACCAAATTTTAGTTACAAACAGATCACATTTAGTTGCTAGCTAAATACAGGGTGTTAATTATGGTTGTACCATGAATGTAACAGACGATTCTTTTGAGTAATTTCAAGAAAAAAGTTCATATAAACATAGATCCGCAAATTCTTCGTTCTCAAGGTACAGGATCTTAAAATTTAAAAAAAATTGATTTTAGAATTTTTTTAAATATCTTTGACCTAATTCTGTTATTTGGCGGTGGTATTCATAACAAGTCCAGCGGCTTCTCGAGGGGGATCTGAATGAATATTTGTGACAAAAAATGAGTTTTGTGCAATTTGTATATTCTGTGGATTAAGCAAATAGAAATACAACTTTTTCATCTCCTGCATTTTTTCGTATTTTGGTTAGTTTTTGAGGAAAAAAATTCAATTTAATTTCGTATCCCTGGACCACACGAGGAATATGGGGAAACGTTTCTTTTGGAAATTGCATATTTTATATTTTTTTATTGCTAATTATGTACCTAACAAAACAAATAAACACTAAATTAAATTACATTACATAACATCTAAGCTAGCGAATTTTACTAAGCCGAGGAATAGTAAATAATAAAACGATTGCTGTATTTAGCAAACAACTTGACAGTCGAGTCGTCAACTTATTATTTATAAGCTATTAATTTATAATTTTTAAAAAAAGTGTTCTTAGTAGTTTTTGTCCAGTATGGCTCAACTTACGAGTACTAATAGTGAAATGGCAGATATGCAAACTGTTATGGAATGGCTCAGGGAAACTCTAATGCTGTAAGAAGCATTTATCATGAGATATTTCCTACACGCTGAGGTGCTTAATAGAAGAACTTTTGTACGGCTCCTTGCACGACTTTCTGAAACAGGCTGCAAATTGAAGAAGCTGTACCACTACTCGGAAAATAGCTGAGGAACTGAATATCTCCTACATCACAGTGTGGAAGTTTTTAAAAGACCAGCAGCTATACCCATATCATACGCAGCGTGTGTAATTATTACCCTTTATATTACACATGCATGTATGTAACACTACAATCTGCTTACTAGGACTCAACAATACGCGAAAGGTCATTTTTGAAAAATAAAGGATACCTTCATAAAGTCCAACTTATCGGTTAAAGACTGAAAGGCCATAAGAATCAAATTATACTAAAAACTGAAAAGAACACCATTCTAAATACTCAAGATGACTAAATTTGAAGCAATCAAGCAGATCTGTCGAGTACTCACTTTGAAGCAGCCTTCTGAGGTCTCCTAGATCACTAGCTCTGGCTTGCTGATGATCGGCCGCTCTAATTGTAGGAATTGTAATTCCTGTGAGCGGCAGTGGGAGTGCCGTTGGTTGATGCAGAATAGCTCCCAGAACTGGTTCATCTTCACTTACTGTATCATTTTTGAGTAACCTTTCCATAACCGCTTTCAAAATGTTCAATTCTGTCCTATGCCTCTTGATTTCGTTTTGAAGCGATCTTTCAACCTGCTTATCATAGTTGAGCATTTCTCTCGTTTTGTTCAAAGCACGCACTGCTTTCCTCAAATCAGATTTGAGTCTGATCAGCTCTTCTTGGACAGTACTATCTGTACTTGTGTGGTCCGACATTCCCTTTTCCTCCATTTTGGGTTCAACTTCGTTGAAACTAGTATCACTTAGATGTTCTAAAATCTTTAGCAGATCTTTTTTATTATATCTTTGAGCAAAATTGTCGTCAACGTCTTTGGTTTCACGGTCTAAGGATGTCATAACACTCTGCTGGTCTTTTAATAACATTACAATGTCATGTAGATTTTTTATTTCTCCTTTCAGCTCTAGTATTCTTTGCTTTTCCATATCTTCATCCTTTCTGCAGTCACTTTTGCCTTTATCGATCAGAGGTGCTTCAACAACAGTAACTGGTTGATCAGAAGCAGCAGATCTCTTTGATCTTTTGATGAAGTTACCCAACAGTCCCATAGTTGTAGTCTCGAGCTCCTTCATTATATTGTTGTCGAGCTTCACAGATATTTTATTTACAATATCCTTCAATCTGTTGGGGTCTTGAACCAACTTAGTAAAGTCAGTTAACTTGTCTTCAGTGGGGGATAAAGTATTCAAAACCTTGCTTAAATGAACTGAATCTGCCCCCTTCTTGATTATGTTGCTGAAATGAGACAATGATGTTTTCACATCGTGTGCAAAGTCAGATTTTAGTGGACCCAAAACATTTCTCAAACCAAAGTCTTTATTGTTTAGATTTGATGTTGTTCCAAAATCGTTTGATATCGGTTTTATACTATTAAGGAAGTTCTTTAAGTTTTGGATTTCAATGTTACTCTTTAATTTGTAAGGATCAACATGTAGAGGATTCAAGTCCTCCAAAATGTCTGCAATGCTTTTCAGTTCCGCGTTTCTTTTCTTTACGTTTTCTGGTTTGGTGAAGGTTCCAAGGAGTGTTTTAGGAACTTTGACTACATTTGAGATCTCAGACTTCATTGGTATGAGGTTGGTCAGAAAGTTTTTCAAGCTCGATATACCAGTATCTGCTTCTTTGGTGATTATATTGCTTAACTTCTCAGCTGTCGGTCCAACTAAACAAATTGTTGAAATAAATTAGAAAAAAGAATTATTTATTATCACTATAGAGTGGGGCACAAGGACAAAGTCTATCAAATCTGAATCTTACAAAAGCTATTGAAATTGAGTGGGGCATGGATATAATAAATTCGAAAAAAAAACTGAAGTAATTTCATTTATATGTAATCATCATAGAAAATTGAGTGGGACATGGACAACGTATAATAAAGTATTAAGATGTGATGTATGTACATATTGACATATAATATTAAATAAATACTTGATTATGCCCAAGACGAACAAATAACTAAACTAAAAGATATTTTATAACTTTAAAAGACTGAAACAAGATACTTTAGAACACCATCGTCACCAGTTAGTACTGAAATGGAGAATCCTGTGCTAAAAAATTTGACGTATCAAACCTAGAGGTACCTACCGTCGATAGACCTTTTCTTCCTATATTTTCCCAAACTGACGGTTGCCCTCTCAGTTTCCTTTTTGATGAGGTTCTTCAACTTGTATGGTTTCTGTAAAGTATTTTTGCTCAATCCATTATCAAGGATTTCATCATCATAATCTGCATTGATCAGTAATTGTGCATCTTTCACTATTCCGTCGATGGCATCGAAGATCAGATCTTCAAAACCACTCCCTATTGTATCGATATCTTTTTTGAATTTCACTATTTGCCGTTCACTATCACTATTGTCACTGTTTGCACCGGATATTCTTAACACTATTATGTAAAGGTAAATAGTTCTATGAAAAGACATTTTGATAATGAGTAGTATGTGGTCAGGTATAGTGCAAGTACTCGGGTGACATACTTTCCGAGGAAATGTGCAGATTAAGCACTTAGGTGCATCAAGGTTTTTAATGATTTGTTTTCAATTCGTGGATAAATACAGTTTCCATTGGCGTAGAAATTATGGCATTCGTAACGAAAGTCATCTGTTTATCATCCATTACATGTATTGTATCATATAAACTATCTGTTGCTAAAATACTCAGATTCTTTTGCATCGGTATCTTGTTTACATTGTATTCATTATTTTTATTATGAGCTTCAAAAACTTATTGAAAATTGGTTTTCAGTTTTACTTCTACTTTCCTCGCGAGATTTCGATATCAAGATATGTTTATTCTACATAATATGATCATATTCTCGGAAGACTTATTTACACAGGGTTACTTCCATGGTAAGAACAAAAAGGCTTTAAAAATTGGTTGTGGTGATGGAGATATGAGAGAGAAATGAAATTTTTTAGAACTGCTCTCAACTTTTTCGATATTTTGAGCTGCTAATGTTTTTTAGACCTAGTCAAAATATTCTTTGGCACGGGTCAAAATTAAAAAAACTTTAGAAGTTATTTCTACCTTTTTCAACTGTCTGGCTCCTTTAGGAGTAAGTAAGAAGGGGAGCATTTGCCATATTTTATGAATCACCAGTATTCAGTTTACCTAAAATTTTAAATCGATTTATGCCAATAGAACAACCGAGTTCATCGACTCCGTTTTCATAGATAATTCAACGATATATCTACTGATCTGTTATTCAATTATTATATTTGAAGATTTCTCCATTTACCCTGGCTTACTCCTGACTCATTGTTTACTGCTTTTAAAATTTATCACCTATTACATAGGTACTACAAGTGCCTAGATAGCTCTCAGCTTTTGTAGGTGCTGATAGAATAATTCACTTCTTTATCACTATACCCCGTCCATGTCGTATAAAAATGTATCATCAGCAAACTGTAAATATCTAAATTAAACATCCATGGAATTTCTTAATTATGATCGTGGTCGCTTATATTTTCACTATTACCTTGTATATAGTGTGGAAAAAAACGAGTAAATAAATATGCCACAGTAACTTGGAGACCACTTATAGCGCGTCCAAGAAAGTGGGAGTTTTGAACTACCATCAAAGATGAATTCTCTGCTAATTCAAAATATACGTTTTTTTATTACATCCCGAAATGAATTGTAAAATTGCGACCGGTTGTGGTTCACATACGCAACGCTCTCGTCAGTTCTCAAAAGATTGCTCCGCGCAAGTCTTAGAAAAAAATGCCTACAAAAATAGATCAAGTCAGTCAAATAGACCCGTACAATCAGATCCAAGTCCCAACCAGCTCCGCCGCCACTGGATTATCGATTTTCAAAAATGACAAAGTTGCATGTTAAATTTAAAACAAAAATACATTTTCGAAGTTTATCGCGACTACAATTGGCTTCGCTAATTGGCGAGGGCAGCAAAAACATAGAATGACGGAAAACCTTTTGTCCTACTATTAGTATCCTCTCGAAATTCGCATGTCCATCCACTTTAGGAGCTTTAAACAGTTTCTGGGTATTCTCTAAGATGACCGGGAATTTTTGAGACAAACAAAAACATTGTTCCTGAACAAAAAGTTTCTCCTCCGGTTTCTCCATAAAGAAAGCTTTGCAATCATTTTTGATTTATATTTAACAAAAATTGCGTCTCTCTCATCCTGCTGACACTGTAACTTTAAAAAGCCCTTACAAATTTAAAATATAAAATCCTCCATTGCGGATTTATAGATTGATCTCTGGCATTGATATCGACCTTAGTACTCATTGTGAAAAAGATCTCAAAATATTGTATCAAACTTCATAAGACTAGTCACATTATTGTTATCGACACAGGATACATTCAGACCACAGCAAAAATGCATCTGCCTTGCTTGTATTTTATCAAATAACTAGAGAAAAGTATGGTATCAAGCCTAAACACTGGCACAATAGGTATGCGTCTATTATTTATTGATATATTCGCTAATTTTAATTATTCGTCTACTTTTCGGTCTGCAACATTCCTTATCAGGCCTTTACTCGAAAAGTAAAGTATACATAGGTATGTATACATATTACAATATTTTCAAATTTTGTCAGATCATGTTAAAAAATGGAAGGAGCTCCATTATTTTTATCCAGAACAAACCAATTTTCCAGGTAGAACACGTGCTATGAGTTTTTTTCCAGAAAAGTAGTTTTAGTGCTTGTCGTGAAGCACGCTATCTTTTACTGAATATGTACATTGGTGGAAAAAGGAATTCAATGATATCAAGAAAGCTCCTATGTGTAAACAACGTTCTTTTCTCTTAAGCATGCCATACAGAGGTATAACTCGTATACATAACACCCATCGATTCAAAGAGTGGCAGCGATAAAAATGGGAAATACGTCCTCGAATACACTGCCTATCAAAAGTAGAGGCTAGCTAACTTGTGGTTCTAACTACGTTTATTATGACAATGAATTAAGATTTAGTGTGCTCTAAGTCTAAAAATGTTTGTCATTCTCCTATATGTTTTCCGTTTAGTGGTACCTGGTGCAACAATTTCTCAAAAAAGCTTTGTATATGTGTAGCCCTATCTAAACAAGACTGATTTGTGGACTTGTAGAATGGCCGGAAACTAAATACCAGTACAATACCTGTACATCCCATTCAAATTATCAAACTCTATTGGTTCTAGCTTAAGTTTCCCTCCTGTGATCTAGTGTTTCGCAGTCACGGGGTTATTAATGACCAGTTAAAGTATCAGTCATTGCACAGGTGTTCTTTTAGGTAGTTGTGCTCTGTTGGAAGTCCTGTAAGTATAGGGCATTTTGTAGTTTACTACTCAATGAGAGTAGTTCTCTTAGCGTTATCGTGGAAAGTTCTCAGATACTTTTTTTCCTATGCTTACATCCAGACATTGTAATATTCCTTGTTCTGCTGTCTTACTTGTACTTATTGTGCTTTTGGGCACCTTCAAGCCAGGCTGCACATTAATTAGTTAATTGTAATTAGTCCCCCAGTTCTACCTATGTGACAGCGTTGCGATCTAGGAATGTTTCCTCTGCCGTACAGACAGTACCGACCAATCCCCGGCGATTAGAAATTGAGTGTTCTCAATAACAAAAAATCAGTCTTGAATTGCTACTGAATGGGCTGCAGCTTAAATGGCTTGACGGATTTTGACATACAAGATTTCTTTAGATTTGTCTGGACAGTGCGAGTGACACTGAGTATACTAAAATCTTATAAAGTCAAAATGGCGGATTTCAACTCTGAAATTCCTATTCCACGGACTACAGCTTAAAAAGCTTGGTGGATGTTGATATACGAGGCATCTCTACAAAATGTTAACTTAGCACAAGCTGTTGTACACTTGTTGTGAACTCCTTTTGTAGCTGTAAGTGCTGCTTAAACGTCAGCGAACAGCGATCATAGCAAGCAAAAACGTGGAATGAACTATTTGCACATTTCTTCATTCTTCTCTTGTTTGTATTTTTTGAAAAATGTGCATTTCTGCTTCTTTAGCTTTCTGAGGGTAGGTAGGGAGGCACGTCTTCACATTTAAGATCTAGCAAGCTAATTTTTGCGGATGTTTGGAAACCAAAAAAAGAAAATAAATAAAACATTTGCCACTCGTTGCTTAAGACGGATACCTTGTTAGGTACATTTTACTTTTCAAGCGGAAGCCAGGGAGGTATATGCCCCTTTGCCCCCCTAATGGGCGTCCATGCTACTGGTTATATTTTCAAAATCCATAAGAGCTTTTCATCCTTGGCATAGTAGTAAAAGTCAGAGTTCCATCAATGTTCAAAAAGCGGTTTAACAGTCTTTAAGCTTCTCATAGCAGCTGTAATGCCCTGGCATTTAAGCTTCTGCGACTGCTTTGATGATAAAAAAGACCAAGCGGTACTTTCTGAGTTATAGAGGTACCGAGAATTAGAGGGCAGATTGACGGTAGCGAGTGACATTGTTGTTAGTGATGTACGTGTTATGCAATATTCAAAAAACAAAACATATGTTACAGATTGAAAATACGCGAATAATTCAAGTTATTGAAAATATCAATGATTAAATAGACGCGGAATTGAATTACCATGTATTCAGCTTTTTGGGCACGCAGCCGATTACCAACCACAGTTCTCCAGGACCTTCCACCCTTGCATCTCTCTAGCCACTAGACATAATATAAATAAAGCCTTCGATGCATCCAAAGTAAACTGACGATTATCGTTGATATTTAGTACCTCATCGTAACCTATGGCGATCTCAAATTCTCATGTCAAATGGCGTGGGAAGTAAAGCATCCAGGCTAGCAGTTCTGACACACGAAAAGCTGAAACGTGTTCGGCTCATGTCCCAGACTCCTCTAGAATTTGTTCAGTAGTATACGTATCTAAGCAAGTACCGGCGGGCATATTCCTTCATTCTCTAGATTCAGACGTATTCAGATTATAGTAGAAATCCAATAAATCAGTGAAGTGCTGATGTCTGCTATAATACAATCGTCTTTTTGTATAAGCTTTTCTATACTTTGCCATTTTTCTTTTGGCAGTTCTACGTTTCCGTCTGATATTTTATCGCGGAGGGAAAGATTACTGCTCACTGCTCAGCTTGGCCGGTATGATCATTTAGATATAGGTCAGAGCAATCGGCGCCCTTTCGATATTCCAAATATGAACCCTAGAATGCGGCTAATTTTAGAGCGCAATTTGGTCCCACGATTTCTGCTAACAGGAATGGACGAAGGAACGCCGCTATGGAAGGAAAAATGAAAATACCTTATATGATTTTTGTAGCGTAGTTAGGAGATTTTTCAAAGGACTTGAAAATCTTATGTGACATATTTTCTGCATGCGAGACACCATGTGAAAGGTTCAGCTGACACGTGGAATGGAATAGCTGACATACACATTTCGATAACCTCTTACAACTGGTAAATTTCAGATTTATTCGTGAAAACAAGGTCACGCTGAGGCACAGTCCCTTTTGGTTCTTTCGTGAATAGTGTCCATATCAAG